AACAATAACCGTAAACGTAACGTTGGTTTTCGATCGCATTGCCCGATTCGGTCATCCGTAACCATAAGAATCGAGCAACGCGATTGATCGAAAATCTTACTGTTACGGAAAGTGTGTGTGTATGTGTGTGTGTGTGATTAGCTTTACTGTCCTATTTCTCCTACCGACAAGAGCCGGCGAAGGCATTTAGCTTAGTTTCTCTTCGATATTTATTTCGTCATCGCCGCATCGATATATTCGACCTCGAAGCGAAATGACTCAAGCAATAACAAAGGTCGGAAAATTTATTCCGTCTCTTTCCGCATTTAAATTTATCTTTATAATACAGAAGTATTAACATAAAATAAAATCAATAAAATCATTTTTTGCTTATATAATTCTATGAAATATCTATGATTTAAAAATTTACTTTTATTATTATTTAATCTATTTCTTAAATACATTTTTATGTATATGTCTGTATAATTAAAATAAAAAATCGAATACTGCAACATTTACATCTACTGTCATAATATTATTATATGTTGACGCATCAACGAAATTTTGCAAAAAATGTTAAAACATAAATCACAAAAACTGAAAGGTATAAAAGTAATAATAAAATTAACATATACAGCTAAATTTAAAAATGAAATATTCTCATATCAATTGCGATTTAAAAGTGGGCTAAAAATGCGTACGTTTCAGAGTTTCTCTCGGTGCATCGACAAAGGAAACCACTGTGTACAGAAAAATGTGAAACGCGTCTCGCGTTTCTGCACGTTTTGCCGGTATAAAATGCAACTGGTTCGCACGAACGACGTTCCCTGTCGGCGCGACGTTTTTGAGGATATTGCACGTATGAACGAGCCTTAACAGTCCTCGTCTTAAGCTTAAGTGAGACAGAGAAAGTAAAGGAGAGACAGAGAGAGAGAGAGATAGAGAAAAAAGAACAGATGCATTCCAACATGGAAAGGTGGGATGGATCCGTCTCTGATAACCCGCCCATTGGAATGCGTACCTCGTACACCTTGGTGTATTCTCCCTCTCAGTTTCACTACACACCAACATCTACCTGCATCTACCTTCACACACACATATACACACACACACACACATACATATGTCGCGGATATTCGGCAGTTATTTTTAGAGCAATTTTAACAGGCGGACATGTGATAGTGTTTCGGATGCAATAACTGACATCCGAGAATTTATTCGTTGGGTAAATCGCGAGATCAAATATGTGGCATTGATTACGACATAATTGTTCAATGGTGTATATGTGTGTGTGTGTGTGTGTGTGTGTGTGTGTGTGTGTGTGTGTGTGTGTGTGTGTGTATGTGTGTGTGAGAATATAATTGTTCAATACCAAATAAAAAAGGCGCAAAACGCACTGTGAATATGAAAATTATATGAAAGCGAATTTAATTCGTTATATTATTTATATTTTATTATTTGCATCTTGGAAGACAAAGAATAAAAATATATTGCAATTTATCTTATTAACATTGCAATATTTCCTTTAAAGAATAAATGGGAAAGAATTAATCAAAACCATACAAAAAGACTACATGAAAAGAACAATTTTGCTGAAAGATCTAAAATTTTGCTGGATACGGATCTGAAAATAATTTTGTTGAACCATCAAAATAATTACATTAGAAATTGAAAAATGATGAGCAAAATGCTGAAAAAAATTTTGATATTCTAGCAACCAGTTTGTACTTCCAACAAAATTATTTTCAGTATCCAGCAAAATTTTATATCTTTCAGCAAAATCATTTTCCATGTGAAATAAAAAATATCCGTTCACATTGTAATCATGAATCAATTTACAAATTCAAGATATACTTGTAGAACAATTTTAATTCCCTTTAATTCGTTAATTCTCAGAATGAGAGGAAAAAGAGAGATGTCGCAAGTAATTTTTCGATTCTTTACGAACTACGTTTCGCGGAAACGATCGTTGCACGTCCCAAGACATTCTTGCGCGCGTTCATTCATCGACTCTCGCATTGACGCCGCAATTACCCGCTGAATGGAAACGATTGCGGCCGTGGACGTATCGCGTGCATCGGAACGAGCTTTTGATACACCTTGATGCATTCTACTTCTCGGCTGCTGCTGCGATTTGATTGCGAATGTACGTAACAACCACAACGTGTTCGAGGAGGTTATTTTTAGACCGGTCCAAGATTATTTTTAGAAGCGGCCTGCCCACCGGCAGCTTAACCCTGACTTACGTCCCTATGTCTTCGTGGACATCGCAGGGACACCGCGAAGATCGGTGGACCATTAAGCGCATCAGCCGAAAGACATGCGGTCGCCAGAAAATGAGCAATGCACGAAACACGCGGCATACTTTCCGGCCACATTAAAATTTTTGACATTCAATCCCTCGTCACTCACAAAGCGTGCTATTCGTTTATCATAATTGTTATAAATTACGATACATAATGATTATTATTCATTAATGATAACAGCGAAAGATAAAACCAATTTTTTATTATTCACGAACATTTTAACGACGTAAAATTGTACTTTGTTAAATCATATTATATCGTCCTACTTTAATTAAACACACATCAAATAAAGAACAATGATGTTTGGAAATTTCATATACAGTACACGTACCTATAGAGAATATCATGATCGTAAAGATTTTAAATGTGAAGATCGTTTCAAAGTTGTGTGCTTTAGACTATCGGAGTTTATCGAAATCGAAGACGAGGCTGAACAGTAAAACTAGGTATTACGATCACACAGGGCGATGACGCAAGCTTTCGAGCTTCTATTTGTGGCAACTACAGATCAAACTATTCTCTCAAGCTCATGTTCCGATTTCGCACTGATGTGAAGTTCTGCGTATGTATGTCGAAAATCTTGAGATTAAATAGCGAATTTTAAGATAAAGAGAATCCAATCTTAAAGAGATCTCAGAGAAATCTTAACTTTAATGAGAAAGATTAATGAAAATCCGAGAAAGTAATAGATGAGATTTTTAACTATAGCATGTTATAGACTATATATTTTCGAAAGTGGCATTTTTATGACTGTAGACTCTTCCATTTCCTTCTATTAAACCGTTCCAGTAGTGCGTGCCTTACAGAAATAAAAAAGTTCCGCATTTTTTTTTTTAACTAAATTGAAAAAGTAACAGCTGGGATTCTGTTTGTAAAAAATGATTGTAGAGCATAAAATTTTGCTAGAACTTAATGAGAAATGTTGAAATTGCAATAAATTATCAGTACGACACTTTTTTCAAATGCCGTGGTATCTATATTTAAAGATGATTGTTGAAATTTTGTTTTCAAATTACACATACACACATACACATATAATTTTCGATCTAGATCTTTAAAAGAAACATTGCAAATTTATCGGAAGCACAATGCCTCCGATAAATCATGCAAGGACACTTTTATGATTCTTTTTAATATCTATTCATTAAACTGTTTACTAAAATAATGACTTTGGAAATACTAATATATACGATTTGCAAATAAACAGTAATAAAAATTCGCTGACATAATTTTCTTCGTTCGTCATCATATTTATGATTTATAGAATGCAAAATATATATCGTGTCATAAGTATTTCCAACTGTCTACGAAGTGACCCACTTTTCGAGAAGGAGGTGAACGAAATAAACTCTATTTCATTGGGATATTTTACGGGAAGACGATTGCTCCAGTCGTGTGACTAATAAAAATAACGATATATTACGACACATATATTTATAGAAAGAAAAAGAGCTGGAGGCCATCTTCGTACGATTGCTTACAATTAGGTCGAAGTCTATTAATTATTTCCGATGCTCTGCCAGAATATCGAAGAATTATGACTGACTCAATAACGAACCATTCGCGTGTATCTTCCCTCACTACTCAGTTATCGTATCTGTCGCATGCAATGAATAATACATTTTTTATCCGGTGATTAACGGTCTAAATTAATTATTTTGAACGTGATCTTACAAAATCAATGAGTAATTTGTAAAAATACGAAAAAATATTACGATGCATTTTAATTTAGTAAGATAATTAAAAAAAATTATCGATTGTCATTTCAAATTATTTTCCTAAAATATATTCAATATTTTATTCAAAGTTTAATATTTGGATTGTTTATTTTCAACTTTCTACACATAAAATATTAAAATTATATCACTTGTATAAAGCGATGAACTAATTAAATAAAGTCAATATTAGGTGAGGTTTCTCATATTTTTACATTTTTATATCAATGATATTCAATAAGCTCACATAAATTCTTTGCTAGTTTTTTATTCGTAATTATATTAGTCGACGCATAGAAAAATCTTTGTTAATATTACCCTCATCATCATCATCGAGCCGAGTTCGTAATTAGCACGCTCGATAAAAACGCCGACGAAAGATCGTTCACAAAAAAGACCGCTTGATTTTTTAATTTGGGCGTTCTTCTGTTTTCTGTCAACTTTCTTCACCCCATCTCCTTTTTGTCAACCGTCTCTCCGCCCCCTGACAACAACACTGTCTCTAACGTGAATGGATGCACAGTGTCCGACATTCGAAGCGTAATGACGCGCGTGCACTTAAATATAGTGGCTTTGGAGTCTGGAGTCTGGACTCTGGAGAAGAGAAGAAAGTTTCGGCGACGTGCCTCATAAAAATAAACCGGAGATTCGAGACAGGAGTTTTAAAAGTTGCAGCTGATCAAGTCCTTCTTTTATTATATTTTCAGATTAACACTGCACTCTAAAGTGGATTTAATGCTAAGCGGATTTAATACTATTTATATATAATTCTCACCGTGTGAGTGTTAATATTAACACCAGGTTAATATTGATACTGATAATGAGAATTATATAGATATCGCATAGTGTTAAATCCATATTAATCTATATTAATATTTTTTAGAGTGCGTCTACTTGGTCAATGTATAAAAGATATAATTGTAATCGATGTAATGATAATTTGTTAATCCAGATTTTTCTCGAAATACGAGTCATAAATACGAGTCTACTTTAATTACAGGTTAACAGTGGTTCTCCGGCGGAAGCTGCCGGTCTTAAAGCTGGCGATGCGGTTATTAGAGTCAACACCACTGACATGTACAATTTGAGGCACAAGGACGCGCAGGATGTCATAGTCAAGGCCGGAAATAATTTCGAAATAACTGTCCAAAGGTAAAACGCTGAGCATAACAAAGCATAACACTTGATAAACGAATGATTCAGTATTTAAAAATATACTTCAACGATCTCGGCTTGACTTACGTCAAACATTAATGTCTAATCAACATTATTGCGTTAATCAGCAAAAATATCACGTCATTCATTATTCTAAAATGCTTCATGATTATAAAAGCATTACTAATCATATAAAAAAGCGGCTTTAATTAAATTAGCTGAAACTGTAATATTTTGTAAATTATGAACTGTTTAAAAGTCTCCATATGTATAACCATAAAAAGGACAGATTTTAGTGTAACACACACCATTTGGACGCTGCTATTTTAGATTTAATGAAAATACTTTTATCTATTAAACTATTTATTTTTCGGTAACTATATATAACTTATATATATATATATATATATATATATATA